TCAATTGACCGCCTTGAGCCAGAATTGCGTGACAGATGTAGTTGAGAGAAACTTGTTACAGTCGCAGATTTTATAAGGCATCCAAGACAAAAATACGGTAGTGCCCAAAGATTTTTTTGATGGCTTTCAGAGATGAAATGATAAATTATACATAGGAATCAAGATCAGTGTTGTAGCTTTTTGGCAACGGGAGATATTTGACCTTGTCAAATTTGATTTGTCAAATATTTGGATGAATCGAATGATGAATGAAGTCTAAAAACTCGGTCATTTATTTGCCTCTGTTGATTGACAAACCGTCTATCAAATTGACTGATACTTACGTCGGACATTAATTAAGGATGTAATAATATGTGTGCAAACCCTTAGGGTAATTGGTTGAATACCATCGCCGTGAGAGCTTCATACATTTTACCTATTTTGAGGCGATTTCCATGGTGAAAACCAAGAAAATGGTGGTGGAAGCTAGAGGAACTGGAACACCTCTCACACGCCAAACGAGGGCCCAGGGCTCGAAATCACGGCCGGTAAGCGGACAATGTCCGGAGTGATCGGGGATTTGACAGATCAAGCTTAGTCGTCTTGCCAGTCATGTTGACCAGTCATAGTCGGATCGTATTGAAATTTTTTGGAAGAATATTTTAATACTAAACTAATGAGCTGAACTCTGTGAACAGTAGTTGTAAGACTTCTTTAACCTCCGACTCGTTTTGTGGACTTCTTCAGGGAGTTTTACGAGCACAAACAGGCGAAGTTGTGAAAAATTGGAAACTTTTTTAGGCAGGGTGAGAAAAATATTTGGGTGCCACAACTTTAGCTAACACTGTGATACATACAACGGATATCATTTTATTTGGGGCCACCGGACAAATTTAATGGTCTCGATAATGATATTTAACGTGTTACGGGTTACTCTAACAAGCAGTGTACCTATTAATGCACATAAGCTTATGTTAATTTCGCCGCAATGTGGAGGAAGAGTGGAATTTTTAACCATATGATTCCTGTAATGCCTAGGACTGATCAAATCAGAGAATCTTGAAGAAGAGGTAGTTAGAAACAGCGTTTTATTTCCCACAGCAGCATTAT